TCTTGGCCTCCTGGTCCGCCAACTCATGTCCCATTACTCCGTCGTGCCCAGAGATCCATCTCACTGTTACTTTGAATCGGCGGTCTTGACTGACTTTCTTCACATCTGTTATTATACTGCGGAAATGATCTATCAAATAGTGTCCTGACTTTGTCGAAAATACATCACCGGATCTGATAGTTGCTTGATTGTCTACGAAGATAGACACCAGGTATGTGACGTCTTCCTCCCTGGAGAGGAGTTGAGCTGCTAGAGTGGACCAATGACTTCCGCTTTGTAAACTGTATGTTCATCCGCCATGCCCAGGTGGTATCTCAGTACCTTCGGCTGTAACTGGCCAGTTCGAAACAATACTGTGGCTGCGCCGATGTGGTTGTCGATCCCCAAGCCATCAGTGTATATTCAGATCTCATCACTATTGCTGTCGTGGTCTTCAATGGCCTGCTCTCTGGTGGCTGTGATGGCTGTCCGGTAGGGGGTCGAGGAGTGCGGAGGGTGCCTGTTATGTGTGATGGTCTCTATAGAAGTCACGTTGAGTTCAGTAGTACGGTACAAATGATGAAGTGAGGATCTGTGGTGCTTAATGAATTTGCTTGCAGCTCTGCATACGGGCTTGAACAATGGATGGGATGGAGGATGTGCCGCTAGGCAAATGGCGGCTTGATAGCTCAAGTTTTGTAGGTGGTGTTCAAGGGGGAGCAACTTCGTGTGGACCTCCAGGACGTCCGTCACCGTGGTGCGCATGGTGCCTGTTATGCTCAAGGCCGCTATACGCTACACTCTGCGCAGTCGTCTCACTACTCCGATCAACCTGTGCTGAAAAGTGTCAGTAACTCCCATGAAGAGAGGACGGTACCAAAGATCTACTGCATAGAGCATTTTGGGTAATGCGACTGCTAAATATAATTGGCGCATTAGTGATAATGGGATTCCTGTAGAGGTAGAGGAGAGACGGCGCAGCTGGAAAACATATGCGGTTCCTTTAGCCAACACGTAGGCTATGTGCGCGTTCCAACGGAGTGCTTGGTCTAGAATTACACCGAGGAAACAGTGTGTAGCCGTTGGGGTGATCGTGGTGCCACGCGTCACAAGGGGGGGGCGTTCTTTTGTTGCATTCATCGAGAAGTCTACCAGAGCGAATTTCGAAGTTTCGAATTTCGAGTTATGGGCTCCTGCCCAGTCGTATCCCCCAGGCCTTTCCAACATATGCTTGAGGGTGGCATGAGTATCATGGAATGAATCTCCTATAGTAATGAATGCTGTGTCATCCACGAAAGCCAGAGTCCGCTCCTTTTTGCCACATCCAATCGCTATGTCAACAAGGTCAGAATCATATATTATGTAGAGAATCATTGATAGAGGGTCCCCCTGCCCTATGCCGTTCTGGATGGGGATCCAGTCGGAAAGATGCCCGTCGAATTTGAGCTGGGTACATCGGCCTATAAGTAAATGTTCAGTAAATCCTACCAGTGACTCTGGTAGGCGCTGGCATCTCATATTGTGCAGCAAACAGTCAGTGACTGCATTGGGGAAGGCACCCTCAATGTCTAAAAACAAGGCTGAAACTACTTTCCCTTTATGCCAAGCGTCCTTGATAGTTGATTTGAGGAGATGTAGCGAGTCCGTTGTAGATCTTCCAGGGTGTCCTCCAAAGTGGGTGTCAGGGAGTAGGTTGTGATGTTCGAGGAGATATGTCATCTGGTCGGCAACTACCGCTGTCAAAAGCTTGCACATTGTGTTGAGGAGAGCAATTGGACAGTATGCTTTTGTTGCTGTGTAATCTGGTTTGCCGGGCTTTCGCAGAACAACTGTGGTGAAATTGCGCCAAGGAGAGTAGTATGTCTTGAGTGTGAAAACAGCACTAAAAAGATGAATCAGAAATGGTTTGAGTAATGTGGCGCACCAAGTGAATACAACATTGCATATCTCGTCCGGGCCGGGGGCCTTATAAGGGCTCAACTTTGCAATGCTCTGTGATAGCTGTGAATCAATGATGGGGGCTGGAGTTGCCACTGGAGTAGGGTAGATAGTGTCCTCTGGGACCGATGACGTGGCCAGGGGTGGTGGGAAAAAGGTTTGTGCTAGGGCCGCACTTTTTTCCTCGTTGGTGTCAGCAAAGGTACCGTTGGGACGTCTCAGTGTTGGTATTCTTGATAGACCCCCATCACCCACCACAGCTGTAAGGTAATTGTTAGCTATCCATATGTCGTTACTGTTGATCTTTTCGAGCCAGTTGACCCAATGCTCCTTCTTTGTCCGCTTGATCTCCTCTGAATATTGATTTCGCTTAGTATGGTATTCCTCATGGCAAATGTGGTCAGTGTCATCTTGTAGCTTATAGGAGTGGTGACTTAGTTTCGCGACCTCGCGCTGTAGGATGGTCAGATCCTTAGTCCACCAGCGTTTGGAATGGGGATTGGGCTTTGACTTCGGTACCTTCTGCTCTACTGTATGCTGGATTGTGTTCGTGAGGTTCCGCGCTGCTTGTTGAAATTCTTCATCAGTAGCTAGCAGTTGAGCAGAGGGAATCTTGTCCAATTCAACAGCGAGGACAACATTGAACTCATCCCAGTCAGTCTCTCGATAGTTGTGCTTTTCTTCTGTCGTGGCTCTGGGAATTTCAAGGTCCAAGATGCTAAGGATGGGAAGCTGGTCAGTGGCTGGTCTGTGCAGAGCTGGGTTAGTTGAACAACTGATGAAGGAGTCACTAGTATGGTCAGTACAGAATACATTATCGGGGCGTGTTGTAGAGACTCATGCCTCTCATGGCATGATATGGCAGTTTCCGCCAAGGAGTACATAGCACGAACTTGTAGTGTCACTCTATGCGTTATTTATAGTTATCCCTATACGAGGCGCAGCTTTCCCACGCAACGCGCGCCATGCGCGCACACTTCCCATGCTTTGCGATGTATATGCGCGCGCTTTCCCACGCTTGAGCGCCCTATAGCGCTAGCCATCCAGAAGCATCCATCCACTGTCCACCAAGCTCCCTAGTGCGTATATTTCCATTTCCTTTATTAGCATATTGTTCTGTCTTTATTTTTATCATGGACTCTCACTCATATATATCTTTACATACTTACTCAGTAGCGCTTTGGCTCCACATGACCGCGCTTAGGCGCGCTATATAAGCGCCAGCAGTACATACTATTACTTACTACTTTTTTACCACTGAACTTGACCTCTAACTTTACCTACTACTTACTACCTAGAAAATCACAGTTGAAATCTAATTGTCTATACTTCACATCTCTCTTCTCTTGTCTTACATCATATCCTCACTTAAGCTTACTCTTTCTCATTTCCGCACGCGCGTGCGCTTTCCTGCGCTTCGCGCTAATATGCACGCGCCTTCCCGCGCCTTCATACCTTGCGTGCACCTGCGCTTTCTCGCGCTTCGCTTCAGCGCATACCTCTAGATCTTCGCTGCACTTGCTTCCCCTCAAGGGTCGAATGTGCTTGCCACCTCAAGCATAGCAGACTAGGCAACGCACGACCTACAACATTTTTTTAGATACAGTCTGGAGCATCATTTGTTCCTCTCAGTATTGTTGTTTCTACAGCATCCAGTTTTTTGAACTTGAGGATTGGAGTGTGGGAAGTCCCTTCAGCAAGGCCATGACCATTCCGTAGTCCACCAGTAGGTCAAGTAGGGGTTGGGCTGCATTAAGATAGTGGTTAGTGAATAACTGCGTATTACGGTCTTCATCCCACAGAGGATGATGTCGATTAAAATCACCCAACCAAATCATGTGGTCGTCAGCAGAAGGGCGGATGTTGGCCATCTCGCGTTCTAGGAAGGACGCTAGGGATTCTTGAGTTCTCGTTAGTATACAATCATTATAAATATTGAAAATAGTGCAGCGTCCGAACGGGCCACAGAGTTGAATTACCACGACATCCGGGGAGGGGAAGGCGATTTGCTGCCAGGAGTTGGTATCGAAGGACTTAGATATGAGTGTGACGGTGCATGATGTGAGTTCAGGTGCGGAGAAGCGGGTGGTTGGGTATACAGTGTGGAAGTAAGGAGAGGAGATGGTGTTTTTCATGGAGTTGATATGAGGTTCTTGGAGTGCGATGATATCCCAATTTCGGGCAATCGGGTTGTTAAGGAGGGAGTGCTGCGCCAGGAGTGAGGTATTAAGGTTTTGTTGCCAGACACTTATTCGAGTCGGTGCTTCTTCATGGTGTTCAGACATTGAGAGGGGAGGGGGGCCGTGGTGTTGCATAAATTGAGGATGAGGTGAGTGGGGAGTCCAGGATAGGTGAGAGTGCCGTAGTTGAGGGGACTTGCGATTGTTGGTCTCCGCTGGGACTCATATCAGGGTTCCATGTGCCGGAAATGGGGATTGAGTTTGGGCCTGTGGGGGTGAAGGCGCGGGATCCTCGTTGACTGTAATGATGAGGTGCTCCTCGTGAGTGGTAGCCTCTGGTTGGACGTCTTGATTCATAAGGGAGGCTCGTTTGAAAGAGGGATGGACGAGTAGGGGCAGAGGTTGGTACTGGTGCTACTGCCGGTTTGTGGTAAGGGGCCGGTTGAGAGGGTAGCATGACCTGCGTCCATGGATTGTCAGTGGGGAAGTATGGCATGGAATTTTCAGGGTGCTTAGCATCTATCCCAGCACATTTGGACTTGAACTCTGGGCATTTCCTATCCCAACTAGCATGCTCCAGGGAGTTGCAACTTATGCAATGGAAAGTGCAATATGCATTGCACTCATTGGTGCGATGGTTTTTCCCGCAAGTTCCGCATACGTCCTTCGGTGCTTTGCAATCCTTTGCAATATGCCCCCACAGCTGGCATTGCACGCATCGTACTGGTTCCTGTTTGTCCTTTCGGGGGTGTAGTTTCTCTTGACCGATGTAGATACCATCCCAGAGGGTGCTGTTGGCTGAGTGTGGGTCTGCGAAGTGGAAGATTGCATGGGCGACACACTGTGTTGGGGCCCGGCATTGACAGGGTTTGATCCAGTTGGCTGAATCGATTGCGCCCGCTGTCATGTTATTTTCCTCTTCCACCATACATAACCATGCCGTGTCTTCGATGTTAGATCGATGGGTAGGAATGGGACTATTACAGAGAAGCGTCGTTCCTTGATGGTTGCTGGAAGGTCAAGGGCGTTGGTGATTTTCAGCCTATTCTCTGGAGTTCTGATCCATTTGGCCGCCTCTGTAGTAGTTAGTTCTGTTATAAACCCACCGTTACAAAGGCGAGTGATTGCTTTAATTTGAATATCTGGAGTGTCATCCGACTGGGATGCCGTGAACACTTGTTTCATTTTGGTTGCGATCTCGGCTGACGTTACTTTGGTTGTGAATAGGACGCTGCCTGGCACCGGGTCGAATAGGATTTGACGGTCCCTTGTAGCTGCACGGGCGAGGGCTACCGAGATTGGGGCTGGGGTCTGTGTGTTCTGTTGAACAATGGCACTGTATGATCTTGGTGTCCCTGGTTGGGGTTTGGCTGATTGGCTCACATTGTTGACAATATCCTTGATGTCTTTCGAGTTTTCTTCTAAAGTTGTTTTGAATTTGGTGATTTCGTCGACGTTCGTCTTGAGATTTTCCGAGGCCGTGAGGATGGACGCTACTTGAGGTGAAATAGCTGCCACAACATGTGCTGATAGTGAGGAGGTGAGGTTTGCTATGACAGGGGCTGAGAGCGAAGTTGAAAGCGAGTCCACTATTTGCTGGATGTTGAGCTCTGTCGCGGTTGTGGGAGTGTTGCTGGTGCCGTCCTCTGGAAGCAGCGCAACAGCTCGAAGGCCTTCTATCACTATGCGGGGAATTCCTGTATACTGTGTGATGTGAAGGATTGTTAGTATTAGGCTTTCGTTCATTATGGGTTCTCCAGTCCGGTAGAAGGGAGACTTCTCTAGGAAGGCAGCACCGCTTTCTCTATCTTTGACATCGTATTCCTGCTGCATAATTTCGTCTCTTGGAAGCAACATAGAGACTGTATTACGATGAGAAGCCCTGATTCTATTGGTGGGAGTGGGGGTGCGGATGTTTGTACTACCGGTCCCCACAGATGTTGGTCGTGTTTTCCCAGTTGCCATTAGCTCTGGATTCAACAGTGTGGACTGTTGGGCCTAGCCTGGCGGGTATTAAAGTAGTAAGCTAAGAGGGTTTTAGGTGTTGATGACGCCTGGGGCGCTGTTGGGCACAGTGCTGGGATCTGAAGTTTCGGGGTCCTAGTCGGGGTGCCACTTGGTAATAGGCCAAGAGGCAATTATCTTCAACTTGCAATCATATGTCCAAGGCCCACCCACCCAAGGCTCTTGAGGTCAGTATTCAGTGAAAACGTCCAAAGCTTGTATCTTACCATAACATTGGTCTCAGATAACCTTCATAATGACACAAAATACATTACATTGTGGACTTCAGCAGAATGGAGTACGTCAACTCCAAACAAACATCACTTGAACCACTAATCACAGTTATTTGTTAGTGAATGATGCGGTAGCCTATGTAAGTCAATGATTCACTTCCAATGTCGTCCCAGTTCCTCACAAGACGTCGGGCAATTTGATATACCTCCCTCTCATAACAGAACATACAGTGGCTCAAAAAAGTGTCCCAATGTTTGTAGGTTTTCATGTAATTGTGTTATTGCGAGCCAGGGTGTGAGAATCTGACTAAGTCAAAGGGAGGTCCCAAAAAGCTCCGCTTCTCGGCTACAATTATGTCCCCTATAGCGTGAGAATCCATTGACGCCGTGCGAAGATATGGCTATTTTAATTAGGTGACTCATTGGGACACTTTTTTGAGTTTCTATTAAAATATGAAAATCAGATCATTTAGACATGACACCATTTACAAATATATATATAAATGGTCCCATATTGACAATATGGTCTCATTTTAATATCCTGTACATATATAAACCCTTCCAATAACATCATGTCCCTCATAATCAGCATGAAGTCTATTTCCTCTTCTCAAAGAGATAATATCCTTTTTCTCTCCACCTCTGGTCTATCTATCAGGCAGATTGCCTCCAAAACTGGTCTGGGGAAGTCAACTATTGCCAGGGTTATCAACCAGAATATTCCCAACAAAGAAAATGTCAAAATGGGTCGTCCTTCTAAACTTACTCTGCATGACAAAAGAGCTCTTGTTCATCATATTATATCTGGAAAGGCCTCTACTGCTGTTCAAGCCACAAAATACATCAATTCCATCATCACTACCACTGTCTCCACTCAAACAGTCAGGAACACCCTCAAGGAAGCCAATCTTAAAGCTGTAGTCAAGAAGAAGAAACCCCTACTGTCACCAGCCCATAGGAAAAGGAGACTAGCATTTGCTTTAAAGCACCAGCACTGGACTATAGAGGACTGGAAGAGAGTTATTTGGTCATATGAAACTAAAATCAATAGGATGGGGTCAGATGGTCAAGAGTATGTTTGGAAAAAGGCAGGAGATCCACTTGAAGAAAAAGAAGTGAAAGGTACTCTTAAGTTTGGAGGAGGAAATATGATGGTGTGGGGCTGCATGGGGTGACATGGGGTGGGAATTCTATGTGAGGTGGAGGGGAGGATGAATGCAGAGCAGTATGTCTCCATTCTGGAGGAGTGTCTGCTCAAAAGCATGCAAGAATCAGGTATTGATGAAGAAGACATTATCTTCCAACAAGATAATGACCCCAAGCATACCTCAAAGTTGGCCACCAAATGGTTTGAGGACCATGATATTACTGTCCTATCATGGCCAGCACAGTCTCCAGACCTCAATCTCATTGAACATCTTTGGGAATTACTCAAGAGAATGCTTGCTGCCTATCAAGACCCACCTAATGGACTATTTCAGTTATGGGAGAGAGTTGTAGTAGAGTGGGGAAAGATTGCTAAGGAGGAGTGTCAGAAATTAATAGAAAGTATGCCTAGGAGGGTAGCAGCAGTCATTAAAGCTAAGGGAGGAAACACTAAGTACTAGAATTATAGAGATTATGTATAATTGATTCAAACTCAAAAAAGTGTCCCAATGAGTCACCTAATTAAAATAGCCATATCTTCGCACGGCATCAATGGATTCTCACGCTATAGGGGACATAATTGTAGCCGAGAAGCGGAGCTTTTTGGGACCTCCCTTTGACTTAGTCAGATTCTCACACCCTGGCTCGCAATAACACAATTACATGAAAGCCTACAAACATTGGGACACTTTTTTGAGCCACTGTATGTATACACATAATCCCAAAGTTCATCTCTAACCATATTGACCTAGGCGCACCTCCATTTGTTTTCAGGGAAGTGTTTGATGTCTCTCGACATAGGCATTTACTTACTTCAATGGCACAAAGTCAAGGATCCAGAAAGTCAGGTTGTCGATGATTTTGGTCATTGGCTGTCTGGGAAACCATTCATCAGCACATCAAGGTTCTGACCCACGACAAAGTTCCTCCCTGAACCTGCTCAAGCTCGGTTCAAACATCCCTCTTTGGTGATTGAATGCATGGGCATCACAGATTTTTGTGGACGTGAACCCAGCTTGGGTCAAGCTGACATCTCCTAGCGCACACCACAATCATGCATCCTTTTGGTCTCTTGCATCACTTGGGTTTTCAGAAACTCGTTCGAAAAGCCTGGAATTATCATTAGCGAATTGTTCTTCTCCTCAGCACCAGGTTTCCCTTCCCCTGGACGATCATGTATTATGCTTTAATTTCCTTTACTACATAAGCGCTCATCGTGCATGGAATGGGAATTATATTATTCTCCTGCATAGAAATTTGGAGGCCAACACATGCAATGGACTGCAAGCATGGAAAAGATTGCCAATGTGCATGCCCGATGCATCATGAACGCACCAGCAATTGAACCAACACCTCCCGTGAGTGACAGTTTCGGGCATAGGTTACTCTAGAGATCTAAATTTTGATAGTATATATCGATGCACATACAGCATGATGACTTCAGCCAGAAATGTGAGGAGTTTCCAGTGGACCCATACTTTGCCCCATTGTCTGTTATTGCATGTAGGGTGTCTGAGGTGCAAGAGGAGCTTCGGACACGAAAAGGGATTGATGCCATGCATGTCATCATGAGGAGCGATGAAAGGGACCCGGAATGGTGGTCAGATGTTAGGGCGTTGGGGTGGACGTGGATGGACTATACAGCGGAGCGGATAGAGGAGATCTATAGAAAATGGTGAGCCAAATGGATGTCATATTTCCATTCTGACGCTCAATTAAGTTGTGGCCACTACCAGGCATCTGGTGTTCATTGATGCTATCATTCAGTTGAATGGAGCTGGCTTTGTTGGCACTCATGGTTCCACGGTGTCCACACTGGCTAGCCGCAGAGTCAGTTGTGATATGATGGAACAACTCAACTCATTAAATGGGGGTAGCCAGGCGCAGACAACAACTGATGCTGGTTGGATTGCTAGAATTGAGACTACTTTGCGCCCCTCACAAATCATTGGCTACAATGTTCTTGTATTTTTTATTTATGATGTGCATAAAGGTCACTCTGGGGCTCGAATTCACTGCAGGTGAAAGCAACAAAAGCATAATCTTCTTCTTGGTGCATAGTACTGGGGATGTTCCCTTCTTGATGGGGGGGATCAACAATCAAGATGCATCATAGACATGAATATACTCTATACTTTGCGAACCATAAGGTGAGCGATCATGAGACGTAAGATTTGAGCTTGAAAGTTTGTTGGAAAGGTGTGATGCTCGCTTGATGTCTCAATAGGGCTTGAAACTTTGAGGACAAATGTCAGATGCATGTAGCCAGTGCAGTCAGTTACCACTGGTTGGGAGCACTCTCGTTGAAATGATGATGGCGAACTGCTTCGTGTCTTGGGCGTCTATGGAGACAAAGAAGGTTAGCACTTAGTGAAGGTAACAAATGTCAGAAATTTCCAAAGGTGCCTTGCAAGGGACCCCTCTTGAGGTTAATTGAGGGATTGCAAGGTCACCCAAAAATTTTCCAAGTCAATTGGAAGGGACTTGCAATTGTGTCGCAAGCGGCTTACAAGGGGCTGTAAATGTAACTTTTGCAAAAATATGTCCCAATCTGTCCCTAATGAGGTTGCAATCAGCCTGCAAGTGTCAATTGAGCCTCGCTTGCAAGATTTTCGGGTCCGCTTCCAAGCGCTTCAAATGGGCTCGATCAATTGAGGGCTTGCAATGCCTTATAAGGTATGCCAAGCAAAAATAACTTTTTCCGACACATAGAAACGCACAATACACGCACCTCTGTAACTTGGAGAAAGACACCCACAATCCTTCGGCCATGCTCAACACCATCAACTTCCAGTAAAATATCACAGCTCATTCCAAGCACCATGCCCATTCAAACTTTTGAAGATCATGAGGGTGCCATAAATGCAGTCGCAGTGTTCCCCGACAAACGATGAATGATTACTGGCTCGGACAACAATACACTTCATCTTTGGGACTTGGAGACAGGTGTTGTGTTGAAGAAGATGGAAGGGCATAGGGACGCGGTGTTGGCATTGACGATATCATGAGATGGTCAAATAATAGCAAGCGATGATGAAAATGGAGAGGTCATTGCCTGGCACAGTAAAACTGGCAAATCCATGACCCAATCCATCAAAGCCCACTCGTATCAGATCCGCTTGGTGGATTTTTCTCCAAATGGTACGGCACTGGCCACTGGTGCATGGGACCATACAGTGAAGTTTTGGTGTACCAAAATGTGGCAGATGCAAGGAGATCCAATCAAGTGTTGTGACAGTCAAGATCCCAGTTCTGTCGAGTGCATTCGATATTTGCCTTCTGGTGAACTTCTTGTCATCGCAACATCGCATGATATCCAAATCCATAATCTAGGCACAAGAGAACACGTCGCATCCATGCTGTGTGTCAGTTTCATATGGAAGATGCCACTCACATGGACACCTGATGGCACATGCCTTCTTTCGGCACGTAATAAATCCATATCGGAGTGGGACACATCAACCTGGCAGCGTGTCGGTCATCCATGGAAAGGCCACACTGATTATATCTATGCCATTGCCATTCATCCCGCTGGCACCCTTATTGCTTCTGCATCTGGCGACAAGCATGTCCGTCTCTGGGAGCTCTCAGATCAATGAACCATTGCCATCTTCCAGCATTCATCCACCCCGAGATGTGTCATGTTCTCTGTGGACGGCAAGCACATCATCAGCGGAGGTGAAGACAATAAGATCTCACAATGGGCAGTACCAAAGGATGCTCGTCCAAAGGCAAGTTTCTATTTCTGACTCTCATAATGCAATTCGAGCATCCTTCATACAGATCCTTGACATCACAACAGCCCACGATGCATGTCTAACCGGGGATTTATCTCTCGCTGAAGAGCTCCTCACCCAAGAGATCCATGCCGACACCGACAACTTTACTTCATATGCCAATCATTTGTTCGTTATGGCCCGGAAGCACGACTGGGACCATGCCCTTGAGGATGCAATCAAGGTGAGATGGACCCACCCATCATTGTCCTCTTATGAAAGGCTAACTGTCATCCGTGACGTAGTCAATCAACATTAAACCATCATTGATTGGCTTCATCTCGAAAGGCATCGCCCTCTGTGGAAAAGGTCACATCCGAGAGGCAAGGGTAGCATTCGACATTGCATCCATGTTCACAAACCAAGATTCAGAAACCAACCAATTGCTTCTCCTGATCAAGGTACATTTAATTTGTCTCCCATACTATCTGCTTCATCTGGTATTCCAGGCCATCGCACTCTTCAATGCAGATCAACATGAGGAAGCAATGCTGCTCATCGAAGACCTGGCTGCTGCTTGTCCGAAAGTTGATCCTCTCGCGCCTCGTGTTGTGGAAGTGAGTATCATGTGGCCGCACTCAGTCATCAATCCTAATATTCTCAACTTACACAATAGACATATCTACGTGTTCAACTCGGAATCAAAGCTTTTGATGAAGCACGTCATGACGAAGCTGCTGATCACTTCACTGCCACTGTGAAGTCAGACACTTTCTGGTCGAAATACATTCATTTTGCATACCAGGACTTGATCATGGTTCGTCAACATGATGCATACACAGCATTTTTCATAACCTATTCATTTTGCAGCTCTTTGGCTGGGATCTCGAGTGCTTATTGCTTATGACACACCAGAAACGGTGCCAGGCTTTCCTTTCTGCAGGTAAACCCTATCAAGCCCTCCGTGCACACATGCATAATGGACGCCACTGACGAGACTGCGAAGGCCAGCTGCCTCGATTGGTCCAATGGCAAGTGTCAGCGATGTCACCCTCGGCTATCATACTCACCCACATGTGACTCAGAATTCAAGCAACAATGTAGTGTGCTATGTGCTGCCAACAGAGATTCCGCCCTCGTTGCGAATGATTATGACAGGGCTATTGACCTATACTCGGCGGTAATCAACTCGAACTCTGCATCTGATGTTGTCTTCGCAAATCGTAGCAAGGTAAAGTTGGGCAAAATGCTATGGATGGAAGCACTTCTCGATGCGCAGAAGGTGCGATGGGAACTATCGTGCCATAGCCAATGCTCATTTAGGTGATACATAGGTCATTGAACTCGACTCTCTGTCTTATCTTGGATACAACTTGAGTCAACCCATGTTACCGCGTGTCAGGAAGACATCGCATACTCGTTGTTTGGCATCCTTGGGGTCTGTCTGTCTGTAGATTATGGCGAGAAGCAGGACAAGGCTCCCGGGCGGCTCCTGCAGGAGATCGTGGCTCAGTCGGGGGACATCACTGGTCTCAATTGGATCGGAAAATCATCAGAGTTCAACAGCTGTCTACCAGCCTCCATCGCTTCATACGAAGCTCCACCATGCCAGCTACCACCCCTACCCGAAGCTGAAATCCAGTCTTCGGTTTCTTCGCTGCGAAAAATGGGGTTGCTGATTTTGCTTCAAACATTTATACTCGGCTTCAGAACATGAGCGCCCCTCGCTTCACAGCACAAAGACTGCATCTGCATTGTATTGTATTCAATGTCACCGAAGTCAGACGCTGGGTGGGTAGTTCAACCCTGGAAAGTCATTTCATGTATGAAGTGAAGGCAGACGGACTTCACGACTTGCTTATCACCACCAGAGAGGCTCTGGTTCAATTCTGGCTGGCAAGGCCCATCGGGCAATGATTTCTTGTTGTCCGTCCCTGGGATCGGTCTTGTTAAGATCATGCACAAAGGGTAGGACTGATTCTGAGGGGCTTGGCTTCAGCTCATGCACTGCGCCCCTTACCCGAGTATGTGCCCTTAATTTCAGATTGGTGTCCAAAGAAAGTCCGAAGGCGCGGGAAACTTCAGAAGGACTTTCCGGATGGGTGCAAGTAACTTCTGGAAATTACAATGAGGTTTCGTCCTGACATGAATATGTATAATGGCTACTCGGGACTTGTCCTGAGTAGAAGTAAACAGAGGAAAGGCTGCAAGGACAAAGTCCAAAGCAGAATAGGTCCGGAGGACTGCAGGAAAGATCCAGATGAACTTCCGGAAACTACAGAGGATTGCATGAGCGGATGAGTGGAGTATTGGATAAGTAGAGCTCCGGCCTAGGGAGAAACTCCCTAGGCCTGAGATAGATAACAACTAAGTTGGAAGACTAGAACTGATATGAGGACTTAGAGTGAAGACTAGTGTGAGGACTAATATGATATTCAGACTGAGGAACTACAGGACATATACAAGAGTTTATATACTAAGTGACTATCGGAAAGATCAATAAGCAAAGGTCCGAGGCTATGTACGAAGCATAAGCAAAGTTGTCAAATGCGAGTCGGAAATGAAGCATAGGTTAATGGATCAGTAAGCATACTGGTAGTAAGTATAACCGAGATACCAGGAACAAGGAAATACCGAATAGGCTGTGTTAACATTATATGCACAGGAAATGAATTAAGTAGCTTATCGTATATCGGATCGGACCGGACCGGATCGGATATGGTCCGGATGAGATGTGTGGATGTATGGGATATGACATTAGGGCGATAGGACAAAGGATGAATGAAGCAGGCTAGCTGTGGAGGTACGGAGGTCTGATGTACAGAGGTAAAGGGATCTGGATGTGGATGTGTGGATGTGGATGTGCAGAGGTGCAGGGATCCGGATGGGTAGAGGACTGGAGACATGGATAAGGCGTCCGAAGGTCCAGATGAGGCATGGGAATATTATCGGATGTAGGTCCGGAATACGGGATATGACAGGTCTCTTCTGGAGCTACCTGACTTGATGGAATTTCCAGAACCGTCTAACTATGGAGATGATACGGAGAGCGAGGAAGATTATGAGACGCCACCTTCTTCTGCATCAGATGACTGGTCTGGTGGTTCTCCTGTAAAACAGGGGATGTCTGACCTAGAATTACAAGCATTGTGGTTGCTCATTCGCCTTGGGCAGCCTTTCAGTGCATTTTTGCTAGCGCAGCAGCACAGTGGAGAATACAAGAGGATTGCAACAGATGATGATATCATTGGACAAATTCAGGACATGGTTTCTGTTGGAGACTCGATGGACATCAGGACCATAGAGATATTGTAGTTGTATGTTTTTGTTTCAAAGCTTATGGACCTCTGACTGTTTCACATCTGTACTTTCAACATACAGCATATGTATCAACACATGCATGTTAAATGTGGTTTTCGCCCTTAGGTAGCAGTTCGGGTACAAATTATGCTCCAAGTCCCGTCGCTTCCCTATCATTTCTTGCAACCCTTTGTTCGCCCTCACAAAATCCTTAGATGGTGGGACCAGGACAAGTTAACAGTGGTCCGCAAATTGGTATCATTACGTCTTTCGATAAGTCAACATTGTATGTCCCTTTCATTTTTTGTGATCCAAAAATCATGCATTGGCAACATAAATCACCCCATAAAGATTAGTATCAGACCAAGATAGAGTGTATAGCTATCATCCCAAAGTTCCTTTCTACTCATATCGACCCAGGCGCACCTCCACTTGTTTTCAGGGAAGTGTTTGACATTCCTCGACTCAGTCAATCCATAGGGACTCACTTGCTTCAATGGTATGAAGTAAAGGATCCAGAAAGTCAGGTTGTTGATGATCTTGATTGTCATACTATCTGGGAAACCATTTAACAGCATATCGATGATCGAGGAAGCACGACGAGGTCCCTCCTTGAACCTGCTCAAGCTCAGTGATACAGTGGCTCAAAAAAGTGTCTCGATGTTTGTAACATTTCATGTAATTGCTTTATTATGAGCCAGGGTGTGGGAATATGACTAAACTATAGTGAGGTGTCATAAAGCTATACTTCTTAGCCTCATTTGAGTTCCCTATAGTGTGGGAAGCTAATGTCATCATGTGCAGATATGGCTATTTTAATTTGGTGACTCATTGAGACACTTTTTTGACTTTTAGTTTGACCAACACAATCTTAATAATTATGATACTTTATGTGACCTTCTGTTGCTCTAATCACTTCTGTCACTCTTCTAGACATGCTATCTATCAATTTTGAATATTTCTTCTTAGCACTCCTTTCTCACTCTGCTGCAACTCTGTCCTACAGCTGAAATAGCCCCTATGATGAATTTTGATAGGCTGCAAGCAATTTCTTGAATATTTTTCAGAGATATTCAATAGGGCTGATGTATAGGGACTATGCTAGACATGATAGAACATTGAGATCGTGGTATTTGAGCTGCTAGTGACCAATTTAGACATATTTAGGATCATTATTTTATTGCAACATAGTACCTTCCTCATTAATCTATGATTTCTGTATGCTTCTTAGCAGACTCTCATCTAAAACAGAGATGTACCACTTGGTATTGGTCCTTCACTTTACTTCACACAGAGAATATACACTCTATTACATCTCATACAGTCCTATACCTCTATGTTTGTTACTCCACACTTAAGAGTTTACACAATTTTTTTTCTTTTAGTGGTTCACCTGTCTTTTACAGATGTATTCCCAGCCATCTGACCTCATCATATTTATCTTGGTCTGATCTTATAATATGGTCCTCTTCCAGTCCTCTTCCAGTCCAGTACTGGTGCTTTAAAGCTAAAGTTTACTTTCTCTTTCTATAGGCTAGGAATAGGAGAGTCCTCTTCTTCTTGATTGTAGCTTTAATATTTGTTGCCTTGCAAGTATTATTGATGGTTTGAGTGGAAACAGAGCTGGAGATGATGGAATTGATGAATTAGGTGGCCTGAGTAGCATTAGCAGCCTGCCCAGTTAGAATATGGTAAATGTGAGATCTTCATTCATGTGAGGTAAGCTTTCAATTTAGTCACTAGCAGCTCAAATACCACGATCTCAATGTTCTATCATGTCTAGCATAGTCCCTATACATCAGCCCTATTGAATATCTCTGAAAAATATTCAAGAAATTGCTTGCAGCCTATCAAAATTCATCATAGGGGCTATTTCAGCTGTAGGACAGAGTTGCAGCAGAGTGAGAAAGGAGTGCTAAGAAGAAATATTCAAAATTGATAGATAGCATGTCTAGAAGAGTGACAGAAGTGATTAGAGCAACAGAAGGTCACATAAAGTATCATAATTATTGAGATTGTGTTGGTCAAACTAAAAGTCAAAAAAGTGTCTCAATAAGTCACCAAATTAAAATAGCCATATCTGCACATGATGACATTAGCTTCCCACACTATAGGGAACTCAAATGAGGCTAAGAAGTATAGCTTTATGACACCTCCCTATAGTTTAGTCATATTCCCACACCCTGGCTCATAATAAAGCAATTACATGAAATGTTACAAACATTGAGACACTTTTTTGAGCCACTGTACAATCTCGAGCATCTCTCTTCGCTGATTACAGTAAATGCATGGCCATCACAGATGCCTCGTAGACGCAAATCCCAGCTTGGGTCGAGCTGACATCCCCCAGCATGCACCACATACATCCTTTTGGTCTCTCACATCACTCAGGTTTCCAGGAACTCGCTCGAAAAGCCTGGAATTATCATTAATGAATCGTCCTTCTCAGCACCAGGTTTTCCTTCCCCCAGACGATCATGTATTATGCTTCAATTTCCTTTACTACATAAGTGTGCATCACACATGAGAATGGGAATTAGACTATTCCCCTGCATGGAGATTCATAGGCCAATACATGTGATGGACTGCAAGCATGGAAAAGATTGTCGATGTGCATGCCTGACGCACCATGAATGTACCAGCAACTGAATCAACACTTCATGTGAGTCAAGTATAGATGTCTAACTTTTGATAGTCTATATTGATCCACATGCGGCACATCACCCCTCGAGTGTAGAGGCCAAGGTGTTTACTGGCCAAGTGCATTTTGTCCATTACAGGTCAGAATATCAATTCGATGGAGTGGTGGCTATTCCTAGTGACTCTGGTATTTTTCGATGCTCTAGTTCCATTAATATTGGCAAGAGGAACCATGCCAACACAACCTACTTGAAAGAATCAAGAATATTGTTGCCTTTCGGAGGAGAAGCCGCCCCCCACAAGGTGCATGAAGCTGGCAGTCGGTTTGCCTTTATCTGCACTAGTGACACCCGTTACATCCCTCATGCTGTCATTCTTGTCGAAGGAGGGCCATTCATAAATATTCGTGGAAACTGGTCAGAAGAAGGCATTTGTAACACAGTGATTGAACTAAGAATAGATATGCGATTGCCATTCCGGAATTTTGTAAGCTGGACTGTGCTCGTTTTACATATCTCACACTTGCATAGATCTTCGCACGCGTTTTCATAGATATGCACGCGACCATGAAAGATCTTCCAGATTCTTCTTAGGATCGTTTCCCTATCATCTTCCGTTTCCTCAGTCAAAGTTTTAGTTACCTACCAACCTCCCTCAATCTCACCAGTGTTGGTCTCATTCCCTTTCATCCCGCACTTAGAGGGTCTGTCCCTTCTGCGTCCAACCGTTGTTCTTTTCAACTTCAAATACCGGACTCAGAATGCTATGCTTCAGACTGCAGATGCTGTCTGACACAATCTGACCTTCCCCACCACAACACGGAAGCAACATAGCTTTCATCTTACTCACGGAGGCTTTAACCTTCTCACACGAATTCGCGTCTCCAAGTCTTCCTTTCTCCTCTCACTGTCTTGCAAGTATACTTGTCCAGCCTGAGTAAAATCAGTATCAAACATCATCCTCGTCTCCCACTAATGTTACCTGGTCCGTCAAACATCCACATGGTTGTTTATGCATGTAAAGCTGTAAATTAGTAATAGAGTGGTCGCACCCAGTACCAGTGATTAACGCATTTGATTTGTGCTCATCGCCATAAGTTAGGCTCGGATGAGTGCCTCTCGGAGAGGTCTGATTGGTCTTCAAATACAGCTATAGTAATTCTACAGAGCTGACATCCATGTTGTCAATGGAAGCTATGTCTTGGCTTGTGCGATGATGTTACAGTCTGACGCGATCCTCTTGTACTCTCTGTCATGCTGCTGCATGAGGAAAAATGCGCCAAAAGGCTGACCAAGGTGAACCATCATTCATAATGCTCGTGAGTGATGTTCCTCATCTTCTACAGGCAGACCGCCGAGCAACTCATCAGAGCCATCTGACTGAGACCCGGGCTCGGATGAAGCCCCTATGCTGCCTTCATCATCTGCAAAGTCAAGCTGCTCGAGGAGACGATGATCCCATGGACAGATAAGAAGAAACTTTTGTCAGGTGGGTCTTTTTCGCGGGATTGAATTAGTGTGGTGATGAGCAAGTCTTGAGGCCCATTCACTTTGACTCTATACATGAAATGAGTCTCTTGGGCTGAACCATGTGTCTGTCTGATTTCCGTGACAGGAAATGAGATGCAAGGTAGATGCAGTCTGCGGCTCGCGAAGCAAGGAGCATTCATGCCCTTTAATAGGGCATAGAGTTTCATGGCCAAATTTACAGCCACAGTATTTTTTCGCAGCGAAGAGACTTTTGTCCGGATCTCATCTCCAGACAAAGATGACGGGATGCATGGTGGGGATGCATATGAGATAATGTCAGCAGGAAGACAACTATTGAACCCGGATGATTGTCCAACCCAATCGAGAGCAGTAATGTCGCCTGACCAAGCAACAATTTCCTGCAGGAGGTGCCCAAGTGTATTTGCCTTCTTCTCGCCATAATCTACAGGTAGTCAGACATCAAAGATGCCAAACAATGAGTATGCAATATCTCCCTGAATGGTTGTAACATGTTTTGACGCCCATTGAAGTCTCTCTCATGCATCGCTCATCCCTGGGGAGAAGTTGATGAGGGCCTGTCGATCAATACCAGTCACAACCTCCAACTCCTTCATTATTGCAGTCGACTTTTTGTGGTTGCGACAGCGATTGTTGAGATATGGGGTCCAATCCTTCTGATAAAAGATAATAACTTTGGAAGTGAGGAATTCTTGAAAGATCCATCCTCATGTGTTCCACTCACTCCTCTCCAGAGCGCCAGATTTAGATGAAGGCAGAACATCCGAAAGATAGACAATTGTAAGCACAGAATGCTGATACCAGATGAACATAGAGTTGAGCGATTGTTGCAACTCGACATTGCTGCTCTTGTCTATACAGCATGTATCGTTCCATGCCCAGTGGTAACCCGCATCACGAGCAATTTCGCAGAACTTTCGCAACTTTACGATACCACCAGGCGAATTCAGCTTGTATACAATCTTGCCCTGGATGTCCTGCAGCAGCGGCTCTTTCTCTTTCTCTTCCCATCCCCATCTATGGGATAACATGACACAACGGAAGTAAGTTGCCACTGCTTCTATAATGTGTTCCATTCAGAGGTCTGCGCGCTTCATAGACCATGATAGCCAAAGCTCATTGTGTTCTGCGCTCATTTTGAAGGCACTTATCTGTGCTTCACGGTCACATAACAGCCCGGTGGCAGTATTGAGCAGACGAAGTGGGGCGTTGTAGAGAATTATGCCTCTCATGGCGTGATATGGTGCTTTACACTAGGAAGTACATAGCACGAACTTGTAGCGTCACTCTGTGCACTACCCACAGCTATCTCTATATGACGCGCAGCTTTCCCGCGCAACGCGCGCCATGCGCGCACCATTCCCGCGCTTCGCGATGTATATGCGCGCGCGCGTTCCCGCGCTTGCGCGCCCTATGGCGCCAGCCATCCAGAAGCATCCATCCACTGTCCACCAAGCTCCCTAGTGCGTATATTTCCATTTCCTTTATTAGCATAGTTCCACCTTTATTTTTATCATGCATTCTCACTCATATATATATTTACATACCTACTCGGTAGCGCTTCGGCTCCGCTTGACCGCGCTTAGGCGCGCTATATAAGCGCCAGCAGTACATACTATTACTGACCTACTTTTCCTACTTTTCACTTACTAGTTACTACCCACTTACTACTTAGCAGAATATAGTAGAAAGCTATTCCTTTACATTTTGCACTCTTATATCTCTTATCTTGCTTTATATCACTACTTAAGCTTAGTTTCTCATTTCCGCATACGCGCGCGCACTTTCCCGCGCTTCGCGCTAATACGCGCGCGCGTTCCCGCGCCTTTGTACCTTGCGCGCTCCTGCGCTTTCTCGCGCTTCGCTTAAGCGCACACTTCTAGATCCTTGCTGCACTCACTTCCCCTATAGGGTCGAACGCACTTGCTTCTCAAGTAACGCAGACTAGGCAGCGCGCGACCTTACAACTTTTACAGATACAGTCAGGAGCTTCTTTTGTTCCTCATTGTATTGTTGTTTCTACAGCGTTCTCGAGTTGTAGATCAATAGTCGTTCGGATAACACCTTCTGATTCAGAGGGACTTGCGAAGATCTGGAGGAGGGGTTGAGCATCCGAATGATTATGTCATCGAGGGCTTACTGTGCATTTCCACATCCTGAGCACTTTGCAATTTGGTGAACATCATTCGGAAGGCCGCGATAGCTCCATCATAGCTTTGTGTGCCATGAAGTGCTGCGAGTTTCAATTGGTATCCAACATGAGACGAAGGATTCAGTTGGATGACCTTTGTATACCAAAGTCAGCATTTGATTATGAAATGTCCTGAGTAGGTAGCATCACACCTTCTCCGCATCGAGAAGTGCTTCGGTCCATAACATTTTCCCCAACTTTGCCCTACTACGATTCGCGAAGATGGCATCAGCTGCTGAATTGAGGTCGATCACTGCCGAGTATAGGTTAATAGCACTGTCATAATCTTCTGCAGCGAAGGCAGCACATCTGATATCAAGGCAGAGCATGCTGCATTCTTCCTTGAAAGCTGAATGAGATGCGGGTGGGAATTATAGCCTTCACGACATGATTACCTGCAGACTTGCCATCGGACCGGTCAAGGCAACCGGCCTTCATATCATCATCAATCTTATCCATCATGTCTCGGTATGAATTCAAGGCCTCGGCAAGCCTGCCTGCTTGACGGAGCGCAACACATCGTTTCTGGTGTGCATTTTGCCACAAGGACTTCAGGTCCCATCCGAAGAGCTGCACACAGGACGGAGTTCAATATGACAAGCATGTCCGGATGAATCATATCAACATGCCACTACAAAGTCCTCGCATACCAGATGAATAGTCGATGTAGATGAGAGAGTGCTAGACTTGACAGCAGCAGTGAAGTGGTCAGCAGTGTGGTTGTGACGGGCGTTATTCATGGCATTGATACCGAGTTGAACACACAGATATGCCTGATATGCGAAGTTCAGCGAGATCAGCATTAGCGCACAAATAAGAGGTTGATGAGCTCACCTCCACAATGCTACACATGAGTGTGTCATGATTCGGACACACTGCAGCAAGCTCTCGCACAAATATGACTGATTCCTTGGTTTTGTCCTCATAGAAAATAGTGATAGCCTGAAAACAACAAGTTGAAATATGGATTGTGTGAGCGAAAAATTAATGTTGCCTTGATCAAGAGAAGCATAATCTTTGAATCTTCGTTCGCGAACATGGACGCGAAGTCAGATGCTGTTTTCACGTCCCGGATGTGGCCTTTTCCATATAGGGTGATGCCCTTGGAGATATATCCTGTCAATGAGGGTCGAATGCTAATGGACTATGTTACGCAGGAAGGTTGGCCTTTCATAAGGGGTCAATGATATGTCAGTCCATCTCACCTTGTTTGCATCCTGGAGCGCATGGTCCCAGTCGCGTTTTTGTGCCATCACAAATGAGCGATTGGCATATGAGATGTAGTTGATGACATTGGTGTTGATCTCTTGTGTAAACAGTTGTTCAGCGGTAGACAGATCCCCCACGATGCATGCATTGTGGGCGGTCATATTGATGGAAAGGATCTGGGGCATGAAGAATGCTTGAATTGTGTTGGCAGAGTCAAAGATGAAAACGTGCCTTGTAACCAGGAACTTGACACTTGAATAGAATTGAGTGTTAACGTAGAAGACAACGAAGGTGGAATTCAATGCTGACTTACATCATTTGTCGCCTTATTATCTGGAGGGTCCTTTGGCAAATCAATGTTGCATGAGTTGAGACGACGAATGGACAGACAATGAACCGGAGAGTAGCCAAACAAAAACAGAGAGAGCAAAATCAAGAATAACAAAATGGCCTCATTTATGTAAGAAGCACCTTCCTCTTGCAAAGCATTGGGGTCTACTGCCCACTTTGTGACCGGATTATTATCATTGTGATAACTTCCACTGAAGATGTATTTGCCGTCCATGGAGAAAGTGAGGGATGCTGATGATTGCTGGAAGATGGCAATGTGTTGTCGATCTGACAGCTGCCAGAGATGGGTGTCATCAGATGTGCCAGAAGCAATGAATGTGCTATTAGGATCAACGACGAGAGCCATGAGATAGTCAGTGTGGCCAATTGTCCAGGGATCATGGACCCCCGCTGCCAGGTTCATGTATCCCATTCCAGTATGATGTCTGGACTTGCAGATAGTCCATGATATGTACGGCGTGCTGCAAGAAGGCACATGCCATCAGGCATCCACGCTATGCGATTTATGTGGCCCTCTCCGGAATCTGGCAACCGGAACTTTGTGATGGATTCTCTTGTGCTTGAATTATATATTTGGATCCCGCTAAATCTTGTTATGATGGCAAGAAGTTCTCCTGACGGTGAATACCAAACATGGTTCACCCAATTACTTGGATCGAAGTAAATTGTCCCTAGCAGCCTCCACATTTTAGTGGACCACAGCTTCAACTTGTTGTCTGTTAAACAAGCTGTAGCCAGCACTTTTCCATCAGGAGAAAAGTCCAGCAATGAGACCAGACCATTGTACTCGACCAACTTTTCCATGTTTTCAAAAAGTTGTTCACCTGTCTCTCCGTGCCAGATGGTGACCATTCCATGCCCGTCACTGCTTGCTATCAATTGCCCATCTCGTGATATTGCTATTTCCAACACCGAATCATTATGCCACTCCATCTTCTTCAACACAACACCTTTCTCCAAGTCCCATATATGAAGCACATGGTCATACTGCGAGGTTGTGACCATTCGTCAGTTGTCAGGGAAAACTGCGACATTGTCTACGCATCCAGGTCCTTCATGACCTTGAAACTCTTGCAGGGGTGTGATACTTATATTTGGCTCCAACATTTTACTGGAGGCTGACACTGTTGAGCACAGTCAAGGTAGACTGGAGGGATCGTGGGTGTCTTCCTCTAAGCTGCAGAAATGTGCATATTGTGTTTGATGCTGTATTGCCGCATTTGCCTGCCTCATGTTTCTATAGACGCCCAAGACACATAGTCTACTGCAATCTCCAGTTGAAAATCTGCATTGTGCACAGGATGCAGCTTTTCACGCTTTTCTACTATGCGGTGGGGTGTTTCCACTTCTAGGGCACATTTTATCCAGCACTTGTGAGACAACACCCTTGCTTCCAGTGCCGGTAGCAATGCAACATTGTCGTCAATTCTACTATCTGTCCACCACAGCCAGCATTGCGTGCCCCATGCGTTAGATCTTAGCAACTTTGTCGCTGCAAGTATTCCGAAAAGGCTATTATTTACTATGAAATACATGGACTCAATCCACGAGACTTGTGCAGATTGGAAGCTGTAGTTTACTACCATGACACTTCGACAACTGAGTACTGAGCCTCGAAGCATGGATGGAAGAAGATGTATCCGGATGGTAAGAGGAGGCTCGACCTATGACGGCAAAGGATAAGCATTTATTAGGATAACTTGATCATACCAATGACACACCAATCTGCATTTGTACACAACCCATTACCCTGTAGGTTCCAGCTTTTCCTCGGTATCCAAGTCAATCCTCATCCTAACGTCAAAATCTGCTGCCATCAGAACAGCTGGGGCCTGAGCCTGTGAGCAGGCATGGCAGTGTGAATTACTAGCTGGCAAAGAGGAATAGCCAGGCAATTAGCGGGATTGGATGCATGCACAACACATAGAAAAGGTGATACTAACACAGGCTCCACTCGTCCTGAAAGGTTCAGTGTAAGTGTATGATACCGGAGTGATTGGTACCCAGTTTGACAAGGATGTCCTTTTGAATGAGATGACTCTCGTCAAGGATCTTGATAGCGTATTCCTGATCAGTTCGGATATATTGTGCACGCATCACTTGAAGTGACATGAGTACGGGGTGTGGGTTATACGCGATGTACACACCGTCGAGTAAGATTATTCTCCAACAGTGTCTCCAAAAGAAAGGAGGTCGAGAGGGAGTAGCACTTCTGGAATGGGCGTTGGGAGCCTGAGCACGTGCTGGTCTTGGGCAGGAAGATTTTTGTGATTCAAGTGG